GGTAGACTTAGAGGGGAGAGGGGAAGGGGGGAGGGGAGAGGGGAGGGGAGAGGGGAGGGGTGAGAGGGGGGGACGCAGGGATGGAGGGAGGGGCAGAGGGAGGGAGGCGACACCCGGGTGTCCAACCACAGTCAGCACCGAAATACCAGCTGTGTAGGGCTGTTTTTTGAACCACCTTAAACTACTATTTGCTTAAGAACCTCCAAAAAGTAGAAAGACAATAATCTCTTTTGGTCCCTGAAAAGGAAGAACATTTTCAACTTTTTTTTTGTTGGGGAGGGGGGTCTTCTTATGCAGCAAAGGTTTGTTAGGGTTGATCAACTACAAGGTGCAGGGATTAGCAGGCATGTGGGTAGGATGTGGGTAACAAATTCCCGGCCAGTTTTGGGGGCGGGCTTGTGGTCACAGGCAGGCAGGGCTTAGAACTTGGATCCAGGGCGCTCTTTCACCGTCTTCAGCGCCTTCTCGCATACGTAGAAGATGTCCTGCCAAAGGGGTAGAGCTAGCTGCAGCTAGCTTGAACCCGGAATCCGAAGCGCAACTCTTCCCAGAGCCCCTTTAGAACTCTCATGCTTCTGGCCCCTTATGCACGTAAGCCAAGCAGAGCGTATGAACCCACAAAGGCTTTGGGCACTTACGGTATACGGCTTAGGCGGGCACAGCTGAACCTCCTCACCCCGTGCTCCAACACCTTGCTCAGTGGTTGCGGGGCACGTCTCAGCCATCAACCTCCCAACCGCGACCCCAACTCCCTCAAGTTGGTTTAGGGCTTAGGGCTTATAGGGCTTATAGGGCTTATAGGGCTTAGGGCTTAGGGCTGAGGGCTGAGGGCTGAGGGCTTAGGGCTTAGGGCTTAGGGCTTAGGGCTTAGGGCTTAGGGCTTAGGGCTTAGGGCTTAGGGTTTAGGGTTGAGGGTTTAGGGTTTAGGGTTTAGGGTTTAGGGTTCAGGGTTTAGGGTTTAGGGTTTAGGGTTTAGGGTTTAGGGGTTAAAACCCCCAAGACTCCTGAGCCTCTGCTTCCTCAGGGGCTGCGGCCATGGTGCTGTCTACGGACTTGCTGGGAGCGCTCGGAAAGCAGACAAGGAGGAAAGGCAGGGGGGGAGCAAGCCTACAGCCTGACACCCCTTGATAGGAAGATGGATTGGGAAGTCGGTTGCCCATGGGACTGCGCGACTGCATCGGGGGGATGCGGGGACGCACATTGCGGTGCCTTAGCTTGCCCTCTGAGCCACGCAGCGCCGGGCAGAGTCAAGGAGGGAGCGGCCACAACCCTAAACCCTAAACCCCTAAACCCCTGAACCCCTAAACCCCTAAACCCTAAACCCTAAACCCTAAACCCTAAACCCCCAAACCCTTAAACCCTAAACCCCTAAATCCTCAACCTAGCATGCCAAACCGCCAGGACCCGCAGAAGAGGACCGGCTTTTCCAAGTTTTGCGGCTCAGGGCTTGCGGGCCCCGCACCCTATAACTCTGCAACCCAATACAAGCCTATATGATAACCCTACAAAAACCTATAAACATTAGACATTATATATATTTATGTATGTATGTATATATAATACCTTCTATTGGGTCTTAACAGGGTCATCTGATAGAACAATGATGTTAAAGCCCTATATAACCCTATAACCCTGTAGAATACAACCCTGGGGTCCAACACCCCCAGCACGTGCTCTGTTGTACAGCAGCAGCTCGCCCTTTCTCCCAGCCGCAGCTCGGACTGCTGCCTCCGCCGAAGGCGCTTGCCTGTCGTCAAACCCTAAACCCTAACCCCTAAACCCTCAACCCTAAACCCCAAACCCCAAACCCTAAACCCTAAACCCTAAAACCTCCACCCCCAACACCCCCACCCTCCAAGCCCCTCCTGAACCCTAAACCCTAAGCCCTAAACCCTAAACCCTAAACCCTAAACCCTAAACCCTGAGCCCTAAACCCTAAACTCGATTCAGGCTTCACGGGGCCTTCAGGGGCGCTTCAGGGGGGGGGTTTCAAGAGGGGCTTCAGCTTCACGGGGGGACTGCAGAGGTCGTTCAGGAGCCTTGGAGCTGAAGGTTTAGGGTTTAGGGTTTAGGGTTTGGGTGCCGCAAGGACAAATCCCAAAAGCCCAGACCCTCAAAGACTCAAGGGGCAATGTGGAGCCCATCTGCCAACTCATTTAAGGGGCCTTAGTAATGAGAACCGTTGTTGTTAGCTTCTGTATTTTTATTTTATTTATATTTTTTTTTTTTGGGGGGGGGGGGGGGGGCGGTTATTCAAAACCAATGATGTAGGGACCATAAGGGAATACCCTGAACCCTGAACCCTAAACCCTGCGTGCGGCTTCGGGCTTCCCAAAAGCGACTCAGGGGTCTCATGCCGGGGGTTTGGGGAGGGGTGTTGTGGGGCATTCTAACCCTAAACCCTAAACCCTAAACCCTAAACCCTTCATGGGGACAATCGCCTCCCCACGAGCTCGCAGGCCGCGCCGTTCTCGCGCAGGAAGCCGGACGAGGAGATCCTGAGCTGAGTTTTGCAGCTTCCTGGCTTCAGGGCTTCGTTTTAGGAGTTTTGGGTTTAGGGTTTTGGGTTTTGGGTTGTGGGTTTTGGGTTTTGGGTTTTGGGTTTTGGGCTTTGAGTTTTGGGTTTTTGGGTTCTCAGCCCTACACCCTAAATGCTAAATCCAACAGACGCAACTGGGTAGCAGGTTACACCCGAAGAGCCCAAGACCTTAGACCATGACAAGGACACCTAGATTTACGGAGGTCTACTCCTTATCTAAGAGGTGTCAAGCCCGCTTTACTAACAGCCCCAAACCCCCCCCGCCCCCCCCCCCCCCCCCCCCCCCCCCCCCCCCCCCCCCCCCCCGCCTGGGAACCTCCCCTCCCTGAAGTTTCAAGCCTTCAGGACAGAATTTCGGGACTTCGGGGCTTCTGATTGTGCACGGGTGCGGCCTCTCTTGAAGCAACTTGCTGACCTCCGGCTCACGCATGGGGGCGAAATCATGCAACCTGGGATTTTGTTGTGGGTTGCGGGGCGGTTTGCTATCGTAGGGTAGTTACATGGTCCCTTCGCATGGGCCCTTCAATGGGGATCTCTTATATACCCCTCATATACCCTATAAATCCAGGGCCCATACTTCAGAACCCGTTAGAGGAGGCTTACTACGACCTTTTCAGTGTTTGAGCGTACTACACAGGATAACCCTTGGGCAAAAAGGCTGAAGGGCAACTATTCTAGATCCAAGAGTAACCTAAGAATGAAAGGGCACCCTCTTTGGTTTTAGAGGGGGCTTGTAAGGGAACTTAATGGGGCTACTCTGGGTCCTGGTTTAGGCCTAAACCCTAAACCCTAAACCCTCAACCCTCAACCTTAAACCCTGAACCCTGAACCCTAAAGGAGCTTGAGGGTTTTCTGGGCGTGTGGAGGAGCGGGAGGGGGTGACAAGGAGCCTGACAGTATAATGAGGAGCCTCCTATTCAAATACCGGGTACCCTAAGAGAACTGCCTATATACTAAGACGGCCGTTGAGAATATATCCCAAGGGCCTACCTGGTATAGGGAAGGTGCCCTAAACCCTGAACCCTGAACCCTAAACCCCAAACCCCAAACCCTAAACCCTACACCACGCTCATTGCCACGAAGCCCAAGACTGCTCCGTTGTGAGAGGCCTCGCCGGCGCCTTGCGCCAAAGGCCTGCTTCATCGGTTAGGGGTTTAGGGTTTCTGGGTTTTAGGGTTCTAGGGTTTTGGGGTTTTAGGGTTCTAAGGTTTTGGGGTTCTAGGGTTTAAGCGCTTTAGGGGTTTAGAGTTTTCGGGTTATTCGGGTTTCTTGGTCTTAGAGCTTTCGGGCCTAACGCTCAAAGGGTGCTCTGGAGGGCCCAGCGTCTGGTTTGTGATGCAGGCACGGTGTTTAGGGTTTGGGGTTTGGGGTTTGGGGTTTAGGGCCTAGGGTTTGGGTTCAGGGGGTGACAACACACCGATAGGAGTTCGTTGTTCTTATTGATCGAAGCCCACAGCCCCTAAATCATTGCCCCTGATATTACAACCCCCCTTGCCCTAGTAGTAAGTGTTCCCAGAAAGAATATACACTAAAGTAGGTTTTTACCGTTGTATTGAGCGTTTGGGAGGAAGCGCCGCCCCCATGAGCATGCTTCTGTCAGGAGGGTCCCACAGGCTCCAGGAAGGCTCTGTGCTTCAAAAGGGTTCCCTCAGTCCTCAAAACCAAGCTTTAAGACCAAGATCTTGGGATGTTCACCCTTGTACTCACAGTCCTCAATAGGGATTATTATAGTACCCCCATAACAATCCTCATTTCAGGACTGTTAGTATTAGCGGGAAAATCCCAACGTTAAGACCAAGATCGAGTTGGTTTTGCGTTTACAGACTTGCAGACCCAATAATCTCAAGAAGGTTCAGATCCCCTGTGCCCTAAACCTAGACCCTAAACCCTAGGCCCTAGACCCTAAACCCTAAACCCTGCACCCTAAGCCCTAAACCCTAAACCCTAGAGACTAAACCCTAAGAGAACAGGCTTAAAACGGCCGCAGGCCGCCCATAAAGACGAGCCTTTGCAAAAAACAGCCCGAAACCCTAAAACCCTGTACCCTAAACCCTAAACCCTAAACCCTAAACCTGCTGTCCGCAGAAACCAGAAGCTTCCGAAAGGGTTTAGAGTTCAGGGCTTAGGATGATCCCCCTCATACTAAACGTCCTTAGTAGGGATTAGAGTACCCCCTATTATAATCCCTACTAAGGACTGCTAGTCTAACCCTAACCCTAAACCCCAAACCCCAAACCCTAAACCCTAAACCCCCAACCCTAAAAGGGGGAACATCCCTAAACCCAAAACCCTAAACCCTAAATCCTAAACCCTAACCGTAAACCCTAAACCCTAACCCTAAACCCTAAACCCTACGTAACCCTAAACCCTAAACCCTAAACCCTAAACCCTAAACGGCCCTAAACCCTAAACCCCACACTAGGAGTCGGGTCCTTCAAAGCACCGGGAGTCCCGCAGGCGCTCAGCCCAGCTCCTCCCGGGACGCCGCGCCCACGCTTGCCAGGATGTCCTTCAGCTGCCGGGCGTGTACCTGGGCGAGGCTCAACGTGCATGGGGTTTAGGGTTTAGGGTTTAGGGTTTAGGGTTTAGGGTTTAGGGTTTAGGGTTTAGGGTTTAGGGTTTAGGGTTTAGGGTTTAGGGTTTAGGGTTTAGGGTTTAGGGTTTAGGGTTTAGGGTTTAGGGCTTGTTTTGGGTTTAGGGCTTCGGATTGAAGTCGGTCTTGGGGCCCTTCAGCCTGGAAGGAGCTTAAGGCTGAATGCCTACACGGGGGTTGCACCAGGATTCCACAAAAGCTGGGCTTGACTCTTCGCGAAGCCCCTAAACCCTAAAACCCTAAAACCTTAAAACCCTAAACCCTGAACCCTAAAACCCTAAAACCCTAAACCCTAAAACCCTAAAACCCTAAAAACCTAAAACCCTAAAACCCTAAACCCTAAACCCTAAACCCCAAACTTAACCCTAAACCCTAGGAACCCCAAACCACCTGGAGGTTCGTGGGTACTTATACGTGGGGAGCCCAAATCCTACGCAGACCCCCCAAGTACCCCTAAACCCTAAAACCCTGAAAACCCCAAAACCCTAACACCCCAACACCTAGTCCCTAAACCCTAATGAGACCCATACCCTGAGCCCTCTCCTCGGGCTGTTTTTGAAAGGGTTATATAGGGTTTAGGGCAAAGGGTTTGCTATTCAGGTAGTCAGGTTGCCAGCTGTAGCCCCCAAAAACCTCCAACCCCCGACCCTAACTACGCGTTGTAGGCTTCACGGTTTAGGGTTTGGAGTTTAAGGTTTAGAATTTAGGGTTTGGGGTGTAGGGTTTAGGGTTTAGGGTGTAGGGTTCAGGATTTGGGGTTTAGGAACCTTAAAAAGGGTTTAGGGGCTCCCAAACAAAAATCCATCGAAGTCCTAAACCCGCGCGAGCCTCTTCCTCAATGAGCTCGTCCTACGGTCACATGTTCAGAGTCTTCTAAGGCTTCATCCGTAGACCCTGTTCCTGAAACCCAGACACTAAAAACCCAAGCCCAAAACCCACAAAAACAAATTTTTAGAAAAAGAGCAAGAAAAAACTCACCCTGCGCCCTGCGCCCTGTAGCCACTTAAAAACCCCACACCACCTGAAGTCTCCCCTTAACTCAAAACTCTAAACACTGAACACTGAACCCTAAACCCCCCAAACCCTAAACCGCATGAGCCCTGAAGGCCCAAGGAAGTCCGGGGCTCAGGATTCAACGTTAAGGTTCCAGGGTTTAGGGTTTTGGGTTTAGGATTTAGGGTTTAGGGCTCAGGGCTTAGGGCTTCGGGCTTAGGGCTTAGGGCTAACGGCTTGGGGCTGAGGATTTGAGTTCAGAATCAAGGTGAAGGGAAGGTTGATCAGGTGTAAGGTCACGGGTTTCGTGTATGTAGGTACACGCAAGCCTACACCCTAAACCCCAAACCCCAAGCCCTAAGCCCTAAGCCCTAAGCCCTAAACCCTAAACCCTAAACCCTAAACCCTAAACCCTAAACCCTAAACCCTGCCACCCCTCCTCCAGCAGCTCGTCCAGCTCGCTCAGCTGCTCCTTGGCCCGGCGCAGGGCCTCTTCCGTGACGCCTGGGTGCGGGTCCTGGAAGCTTGGGGGTTTAGGGTTTAGGGTTTAGGGTCTAGGGTTTAGGGTCTAGGGTCTAGGGTTTAGGGTTTAGGGTTTAGGGCTTAGCGTTTAGGGTTTAGGGTTTAGGGTGTAGGGTTTAGGGTTTGGGGCCTCAAGCCTCAACCCTGCGTAGCCCCATGACCTATGACAAATTCAACATACCCCAAACCCATACCCCTTAACTTATACAACGAGAATAGAAGGAAGGATTTTACCATACCCCTGAATTTCTTTTGGGGAGGGGGGTATGCCCAAGGGGTATGTTGACTATCAACCCACCCTAAATCCTGAACCCTAAACCCTAAACCCTAACCCCTAAACCCTAAACCCTAAACCGAAAACCCTAAACCCTAAACCCTAAACCCTAAACCCTAAACCCTAAACCCTAAACCCAAATCCTCCTCCGCGATCTCCGGGCCCAGTGCAGGCGCAGCCTCCGCCGCATTGGCCAGAGACGTGCGGTCGGAAACGCCGGCTCCTGGAACAGCATGCTTCCCAGAACACTGAACCCTAAACACTAAACCCAAAACCCTAACCCCTAAATCCTAAATCCTAAACCTATCTGCCTCAGAGCTCGGGGACTGAGGGTTTAGGGGTTTCGTGTGAGACCCCTGAAAAGTAGGGCTTAGGGCGTTAGGGTTTAGGGTTTAGGGTTTAGGGTTTAGGGTTTTCGGTTTAGGGTTTAGGCACCAGCCTCCAAGTCAGTTTCGCTGAAGGGGTTTCTCTAGCCGAACCCCAAACCCCAAACCCCTACACCCTTTAATCCCTCAAGCCTCCAAAGCCCCAAACCCAATTAGACAGTAAACCCGAAACTTTAGGTGTTTGAACACCTACGCCCGAAGTTCAGGATGTTGGGCTTAGGGTTCGGGGTATACAGTTTAGGGTGTAGGGGCGTGGAAGGCCCGTAACAACCCTCTGAACAACATTCCTAAATTCGATCCTCCTCAACCCAATAGGGGGGAAGCATACGCAAATGTCCCAAGGGCCTCCCTAGCCTAAACCCCTAAACCCTAAACCCTGAACCCTGAACCCTGAACCCTGCAAAGCCATAAACCCAAAACCCTAAACCCAAAACCCTAAACCCTAAACCTTAAACCCTCCATAGGGGGAGCTTAGGGAGGTTTGGGAGCTTAGGGCTTCTTGTGGACCAAGGCTCCCTTGAGGATGCGCTGCACCTGGAGCTCGTAAAACTCCTTCACAAGGGGTTGGGGGTTTAGGGTTTAGGGTTTAGGGTTTAGGGTTTAGGGTTTGGGGTTTGGGGTTTGGGGTTTGGGGTTTGGGGTTTAGGGTTTCGAGTTTCGGGTTTAGGGTTTAGGGTTTAGGGTTTAGGGTTTAGGGTTTAGGGTTTAGGGTTTAGGGTTTAGGGTTTAGGGTTTAGGGTTGGGGTTTGGGGTTTTGGTGTTTAGGGGTGCAGGATGTAGGGGGCTGAGGGTGTAGTTGCTGGCTTCTGGGCTCGGCGGGAGGCTGCATTAGGGGAGTTTCGAGACGGTTTTAAGGAGGTTTCGGGAACGCAGACCACCTTTAGGCAACTGGGTGCTGTGTGAAGTGGTTTTGAAAGGGTCTTAAGGGTTGTCAGGTGGCTTTTTAGGTCGCAGAAGGTGGAGGCTTAGAAAGTGTGTCGGATGGCTTTATCCAAAACCCTAATCCCTAAACCCTAAACCCTAAACCTTCTACCCCAAAACTGCAGACTACCGACCCCGGTAGACCCCGCCAAACCTTGGAAACGGGCTTTGTTCAAACCCTAAACCCTAAACCCTAAACCCTAAACCCTAAACCCTAAACCCTAAACCGGGCTTCGGAGGTTCGGAGGCTTAGGGCTTAGGCCATACCAGCAAACACACGGCTTAGAGTTGAGAGCTGCGAAGGTTTCGCGATGACCTGTACCCCTGCTTTTGACTTCAGGTTGAGGGTTTAGGGTTTAAGCTTTAGGGTTTAGGGCTTAGGGCCTAAACCCTAAACCCTAAACCCTCAACCCTAAACCTGAGGGTTTCGGGTTGAGGGTTCAGGGTCAAGCCAGCCCTGGACTCCCAGACCTCCTCCACCAGCTCATCCTCCAGTAGGGCGTCCAGCTCTCCTGGGATGCGTTTTCATGGGTTCCCCTACTACCCCCCCCCCTCCCACCTATACTGCCACCCCCTCTAGGTAAGGGGTTTGGGGTTTGTCAGCCGCTCAGAGCAACGCGTTCGCCCGTCCTGAAGACTTCACGACGTTACAGGTTTAGGGTTTAGGGTTAGGGGCTCAGGGCTTAGGGCTTAGGGCTTTAGGGTTTAGGGTTTATAGGGTTTATAGGGTTTATAGGGTTTATGGGGTTTATAGGGTTTATAGGATTTATAGGTTTTTTAGGGTTTATAGGGTTTATAGGGTTTATAGGGTTTATGGGGTTTATAGGGTTTATAGGGTTTATAGGGTTTATAGGGTTTATAGGGTTTATAGGGTTTATAGGGTTTATAGGGTTTATAGGGTTTATAGGGTTTAGGGTGAATTGCGGCCCCAGAAAAGCTTCGCTGGAATGGCAAGTAGCTCAAGTACTCCAGGGCAGTTTGCTGCGGCGTCCTGTGGGCAATGGTTGCAGACAGGACGCCTACGTACCAACCGTAAACCCTAAATTCGAAACCCTAAACCCTGTAAACCCTAGACACTGAAGCCTAAACCCTAAACCCTAAACCCTATAAACCCTAGACCGTTATTGTCTCGCAACTTGCCGGGTTAGCTTTGGGGATTAGACTCGAAAGCATGGTCAGCACTACATCAACGCCCTCAGTGCCGCGAACGCGCAAAAGCCCAAGACACAGTCGTTTAGCGTTCAGGGGTCCGGGTTTGGGGTTCAGGGTTCAAACCCTAAACCCTAAACCCTAAACCCTAAACCCCAAACCCTAAACCCTAAACCCTAAAGGGATTGCTGACTGGAGATCTGGTGCACTTAAAGAGGAGACGTGTGCCTTGACGACAGCTGGCACGTCTGCAGCAAGGCTGCACCTAGTGAGGGTTTCGGGTGTGGGGTTTGGGGTTTAGCGTTTAGGGTTTAGGGTTTAGGGTTTAGGGTTTCGGGTTTAGGGTTTAGGGTTTAGGGTTTAGGGTTTAGGGTTAGAGTAGGGTTTAGGGTTAGAGTTGGGGGCTGGGGGAGGTATCAGGAATTGCTGGGTCACTCGGCTACCTGATACACGGCGCTAAACCCCAAACCCCAAACTCCACACCCTAAACCCTAAACCCTAAACCCTAAACCCTAACCCTAAACCCTAAACCCTAAATCCTAAACCCTAAACCCTAAACCCTAAACCCTAAAACCAAGCCAAGGGGCGTGAAGATTTCCTGGGCCATACCTGTGGCGCTGTTGCAGGTGTGAGGCGCACCAGTGTCCTAACCCCAAACCTCAAACGGTTTAGGAATTAGGGTTTAGGGTTTAGGGTTTAGGGTTTAGGGTTTAGGGTTTAGGGTTTAGGGTTTAGGGTTTAGGGTTTAGGGTTTAGGGTTTAGGGTTTAGGGTGTAGGCTTTAGGGAACCCCGGCCCAAAAGATCGCTCGCTCCTCCACTTGGAGATTCCTGGGCACTTTTAAGTAGGCTTGGAAGTTGAAGAGGATAAAGTGCCCATGAACCTCCAAGTAGACCCTCCTTCTCTAGCCCCATGCAAAAGCCCCCCTAAACCCTAAACCCTAAACCCTAAACCCTAAACCCTGAACCCTGAACCCTGAACCTTGAACCCTGAACCCTGAACCTTGAACCCTGAACCCTGAACCCCAAACCCAACAGACGAAAGTTCTCACAGCCAACCCGAAAGAGGCCCACAGATCGGAAACCCGAATGCATTGCGCCCCAAAGGGTTCGGGTTTAGGGTTTAGGGTTTAGGGTTTAGGGTTTAGGCTTTAGGGTTTAGGGTTTAGGGTTCAGGGTTCAGGGTTCAGGGTTCAGGGTTCAGGATTTAGGGTCACAAGTATCCGAAAGTGTGAGAGTATAATCTGCTACAGCTCTAAGGGTTGATATGATCCTCCCCAACCCAATACGGGAAAGTATAAGACATCCCAAGGGGGCCTTAATAATTAGAATACGGTTTTAGGGGCTCCTATCGTGTAACAATCAAGGGACTATGAGGAACTACTATTGATCATAATTCCGAACCCCCATATTACGCCAAAAACCCTATACCCTAAGCGTAAACACTAAAACCTGACATTTTGGCTTTCGGGCCCTTTGGGGTTCAAGGTTTCTTCACAAGCGCGCCAAAAACCTCAAACCCCGAATAGACCCTAAACCCTAAACCCTAACCCCCTAACCCCCTAAACCCAAACCCTAAATCCTAAACCCTAAACCCTAGACCCCTAAACCCCTAAACCCCTAAACCCCTAAACCCCTAAAACCCCTAAAACCCCTAAAACCCCTAAACCCCTAAACCCCTAAACCCCTAAACCCCTAAACCCCTAAACCCCTGAACCTGAACCCCCTAAACCCTAAAACCCTAAACCCCTAAACCCCTAAACCCCTAAACCCTTAAACCCCTAAACCCCTAAACCCCTAAACCCCTAAACCCCTAAACCCCTAAACCCCAAACCGTCCCCTCTGAGCAGTTGGGCGGCCACGTAGCCGCCTGCGCCGCCACAAAGGCGGCCAAATGGCACCGCGCGAAGATGCGGCACGATTCTATTCATCTGGTAGGGTCACTAATTTTCGCTTGAGGGCTCAGAAGGCTCCGGCATCAGGGTTTAGGGTTTAGGGTTTAGGGTTTAGGGTTTTAGGGTTTAGGGTGTCAGGGTTCAGGGTTCAGGGTTTAGGGTTTAGGGTTTAGGGTTTAGGGTTTAGGGTTTAGGGTTTAGGGTTTAGGGTTTAGGGTTTAGGGTTTAGGGTTTAGGGTTTTCGGTTTAGGGTTTAGGGTTTAGGGTTTAGGGTTTAGGGTTTAGGGTTTAGGGTTTAGGGTTTAGGGTTTAGGGTTTAGGGTTTAGGGTTTAGGGTTTAGGGTTTAGGGCTTCGTGCCGTCACGTTTCAAGTTCTTGTGTTGAGGCCCAAGACGGGACCAAAATCTAGACACGCAAACCCATCAACCCATTTCGGAGCCCAGCTTACACTCTTGGAACTGTAGGGGCTTTCAGAGTTTAGGGTTTAGGGTTTAGGGTTTAGGGTTTAGGGTTTAGGGTTTAGGGTTTAGGGGTCCAGAGTTTAGGGTTCTGCGCTGAGGATGTTCCCCAGTGGTGGCCAGCTCCAAGAGGCAGCAGACGGCTGGGGTGAGAACTGAAGTACCTACTGTGGTAACTCTTGCTATGAGTGAGAGCAACCCACTCCATAGACAGCATGGTTTGAGGGCTTATGGGTCTAACTCTACACCCTAACCCTTAACCCTAAACCCTAAACCCTAAACCCAAAACCCTAAACCCTCGACCCTAGACCCCAACGGAGATCTTCATGTTCCGGTTCATTTGGTACAGTAGGACTTGTTCCCAGAATGCCTACGAACCCAAAAAGCCACAGCCTAAACTCTGGAAACCTCAACCCCAAGCCCAAGTACCTAAACCTTAAGGCCCCAAAACCCCACATGCCCCAAACCTTATTAAGCCCAAACACTTTAACCCTAAAGCCTTAAAACGTATAACCCTGAACCCCTGAAACCTGAAAACTTAAGACCCTTAAAACCTGAAACCGGTAGACCCAATCGCAGACTTCGACAAAGGACTGCAGGACCGGCAAAGGCTTCGGCTTTAAGCGATTTAGGGTGAACCTTTGCAACTCCAAAGCCCAGGAAATCACTTTAGGGTTTAGGGTTTAGGGTTTCGGGTTTCGGGTTTAAGGTCTAGAGTTTTAGGGTTTAGGGTCTAGGGTTTAGGGTCTAGGGTTTAGGGTTTAGGGTTTAGGGTTAAGGTTCCAGGCTTAGGATTTTGGGTTTAGGGTTCAGGGCTTCTGCGACCGAAGGGGATGCCTCTGTTGCTTTCCTAGCTGACCCTAGAACGAGGGGGAATAAGGGTACTACATACCGGCAAGGGGGGAGGGAAGGGGGGCAGCTTCAAACTAAACCCTAAACCCTAAACCCTAAGCCCCAAACCCTAAACCCTAAACCCCAGACCCTAAACCCTAACCCTGAACCCTGAACCCTGAACCCTGAAAACCCTAAACCCTAAACCCTAAACACCAGGCCAGCTCCGAACCCTTAGAGGACCGGCCATCTGAGGGAGGCACCGTCAAGCAGTCTGCCTCCCGCTTCGCCGATGGAGTCAAGGCCTTGGTCGCTTTGGGGGTTTCGGGTTTCGGGTTTAGGGTTTAGGGTTTAGGGTTTCGGGTTTCGGGTTTCGGGTTTAGGGTTTAGGGTTTAGGGTTCAGCATCTCAAGTCCAAGCATTCACTAGTCAAGAAATTTCTCCAGAAAAATACCCACCCGCCCAAAGAATCCCGCAACATTAAGAAAATATTTCACTCATGGAACGACCTTGCCCAGCAAAAACTGACCTTGCCCAGTAAAAAAATGACCTTGCCCAAAAAAAAATGACCTTGCCCAGTAAAAAAATGACCTTGCCCAGTAAAAAATGACCTTGCCCAGTAAAAATGACCTGGCCCAATAAAAAAAATGACTTGCCCGTAAAAAAATGGCCTTGCCCAGTATATAAAAAAAATGACCTTGCCCAATAAAACAAATGACCTTGCCCAGTAATGACCTTGCCCAGTAAAAAAATGACCTTGCCCAGTAAAAAAATGACCTTGCCCAGTAACAGTTTTACTGGGCAAGGTCATTTTTAACTGGGCAAGGTCATTTTTTTTACTGGGCAAGGTCGTTTTTTTTTGTCGAAACGACCTTGCCCAGTTAAAAAATGACCTTGCCCAGTTAAAAAATGACCTTGCCCAGTAAAAAAATGACCTTGCCCAGTAAAAAATGACCTTGCCCAGTAACTCCTTAACATTTAAATTATATATGAAAGAGAGGTTTAGGGTTTGGGGTTTCAGGTTTCGGGTTTAGGGTTTCGGGTTTCAGGTTTCGAGTTTCGGGTTTCCGGTTTAGGGTTTTAGGGTTTTAGGGCTTTAGGGTTTTAGGGTTTTAGGGTTTTAGGGTTTTAGGGTTTTAGGGTTTTAGGGTTTTAGGTTTTAGGTTTAGGGTTTTGGGTTTTAGGGTTTTAGGGGTTTAGGGTTTTAGGGTTTTAGGGTTTTAGGGTTTTAGGTTTTAGGGTTTAGGGTTTTAGGGTTTTTAGGGTTTTAGGGTTTTAGGGTTTTAGGGTTTTAGGTTTTAGGGTTTCAGGGTTTTTAGGTTTTAGGTTTTGGGGTTTTAGGGTTTTAGGGTTGTTAAGGGTTTTAGGTTTTAGGGTTTTAGGGTTAGGGTTTTAGGGTTTTTAGGGTTTTAGGTTTTAGGGTTTTAGGTTTTAGGTTTTAGGGTTTAGGTTTTAGGGTTTTAGGTTTTAGGGTTGTAGGGTTTTAGGGTTTTAGGGTTTAGGGTTTTAGGGTTAGGGTTTAGGGTTTTAGGGTTTTAGGGTTTAGGGTTTAGGGTTTAGGGTTTAGGGTTTTAGGGTTTGAGGGTTTGAGGGTTTGAGGGTTTGAGGGTTTGAGGGTTTGAGGGTTTGAGGGTTTGAGGGTTTGAGGGTTTGAGGGTTTGAGGGTTTGAGGGTTTGAGGGTTTGAGGGTTTGAGGGTTTGAGGGTTTGAGGGTTTGAGGGTTTGAGGGTTTGAGGGTTTGAGGGTTTGAGGGTTTTAGGGCTTAGGGCTTAGGGTCCAGGGTCTTGGGGGTTTCAGGCTCACAGGGTTGAAGCGGGTCTGGAGGTTCCATCCTAGAGATATTGACATGTCCCAATTCTTCTTCTCTCGTCAGATTGGCGCTGTAGCAAAAGCCCCGAAACCCTAAACCCTAAACCCTAAGACCTGAGACCTGCAGACCTCTGAACCCTGAAGCCCATAAAGCCCTAAACACCTAAGCCACACGTGGAGGTTGACAGATAACTATGGCTATGACCTTAATTCAGGCGCTTCTAACCCTGCACATCACACCGAATCTCTAGGGGCCCTGATAATTAGATCTCGGACAATGAAATAGGGATAAGAAAGGAATACTACTAGTAATTCTGCCGATTTCTGTAAAGACTGGGGATTTTCCGGGCACCAGCTCCAAGAGTCAAGGTTTAGGGTTGAAGATGCAAAGTTTTACGGCCTTTCGAATTTAGGGTTTTAGGGGTTTATAGAGTTTTTGGTCAAGGTCTTGAAAGCTTCATGCTCGTCGTCCGTGCAGATTTGTGTGAGCATGCATGCTGCTACCAACTAGAAAACGGTAGTCAGATTCTGAACCTTCTCTGAGGGCACTGGATGCTTCCTCTCCCGAGTTTAGCCGTGGTGAAGGCACCGGCTGTGGCACATCATATTGCAAACCAAAACATGAAGAACGCGCGTGAGCACATGATGATAAGCAGCACGTGCGTTCCTCGAGAAGGCAGTTCTGTTCACAATCACAAGCACCATAACAATGGGAGAGTTCGTTGCGACCCTTGATGCTTTGCAACCCACCGTCCGCAGCGTGGATGCCTTTCAGGCTAGCCAGACATGCAGCAACGAGCGAAAGCATAGTTGTCAAGTCGCTTGCCAGATAGAACGAACCCGGGGTCGAGGGCAGGTAAAGTCATATATCCCTTCGGGGTACGTAGGTCCTCCCGTGTGCAAGTTAAGTACAGCCGAACCCTACTCAAAGCCGCGAACCAAAGCGCAGCAAGACTCATCATGGCATGACCTACTATAGGCGCCTTCAGAGCTAAAATAGGGTTTTGGGGGTTAGTATAGTATACCTAGATAGGGACCATAAGGGAATACTACTAGCAACTATTCCGACCCCTATATTACAGAGAGGATGACCATGCCAGGAAAAACAAGTCAAGGACCACCAGGATACCGGTTCCTGGCGCCCAAAGTTCCCTAAGGTGGTGGCTGAAAGGTTTCTTGCCGGGGGGGGGGGAGGGAGGGGGAGGGAGGGGAGGGAGGGAGGGAGGGAGGGAGGGAGGGCGGGGGAATTAGGCAGGCCATATAACCCCTAAAGGGTATATAGGGGGAGAGAAGGCGCCCGATTCCTTATTTCCCTACTAAGAAAACTACCCAAGAAGTTGCTGGCGACAACAACGACAATGAGAGTAGCTGAAGCAGGTACAAGATGTCTATACTAGACCCACGAGGAACTTAGCCATTAAATGCAGTACCCTTTTGGGTTTAGAGGGGCTTATACGTGACATTCTCTGTGTAACCATCTAAACAGTTCTCCAGGCACTCCTTCGTGACAGTATGCCTTCAACGATTTAGTTCGGCGACATACACACGCAAAGTCAGCTAGGGCGAAAGGGGATTCGTCTGCAACATAGGAGCCGTTCCGGAGTGGAATATTCTCCCTACACGCCTGAGGCGGGAAGAAGAGGAACCACCCCATTGAGTTTGCTAAAAACTCAGCGGCCTTTTGTGGGCTTGGGGAAAAGAACCTTCTGAATCCTTGAACATACCGTATCTGGAAGTAAACTTGGCACGTGGACGCTTGAGGCCGCTCCATTTGTGCCCTTGCAAAGAAGTACGGGTAGGAGTACCCTTTTGAAGGGTTATCACCCATTAACATATCAGTATCCTGCTTACAATTTGTTAAGAAGTACCCATGACCTCCAAGTACCATCTGCAAGCCTAAACATGTAGCCTAGGGTTTAGGTTCTAGGGCTTAGGGTT